AATGCATAATAATAGCTAGAAATGTAAAACCGTGGCAATTACATATTTGCTAGATGGTACCCAAAATTTGAGTCGGATAATTATATATATTCTGTTAAACAATAGTTTTGTTATCGCAAATAAATACAAGTACAAGAGCTAATACTTGATTAGAGCAAGACAGACTCCACAAATAATATATATATATTCCTAACCAGTATGATGAGAAGAACTGATAGAGCCGGGACACTTTATAAAAATTCGCCATGTGCATTTTTTTAGAATGATCGCGATCTAATTTTCGATCGTGACGAACACCTTGATCAATTATTGTTTTAGTTTTGGGGCTAATCGGAACATACCCTTAATAACTTAAGTCCCAGAACCATAATTGCTTTATTTCAGGTTAACTTAAGATCAAAATTTTTCATTAATTATTAATTAATTTTAATTTCAACATTAAAATACACAAACAAGTAAATGTTTAAAACTTGTCAGCGGTTGTTTTGATTTTATTTGCATTAGCAAATGGGAAAGAATCTTTCCTTAGATCAAGAAATCGATTTTGAAAAAAGTTATTCGAATCGCTGCTCAACATACTTGTATTTGAAATCTTAATACAATTCCTGAGTTTGTGTTAAAATGCTTTCGATTACACCTTCATTTCGTTGCTCTATTGTGGTTCTCTTTGTTATGTGAATCACGAATATTCCACGCTAAAAATATCAGACTTGAGCTACAGATTTTCTGTGGTAGTGCTGTTTGAAATGGGGAATTGGGATTGTGGGAACTGTTTTCTTTGGAGGGGCGGGCAGTTCCTCCTCATGTGCTGTGAAAACTTCTTCTAAGCTTTTGCTGCACATAAATTACAAAATTTTGACATGCATCTAATTTTGAGGAGCTGATGCATTTAATTGCGACATGCGGCATTAAACTGGGAGGAGTACAAATACCACTCGAGCATTATTTTAAATGCTTCTAAACGTTGACCTCGAAACGAGACGCCGCTATTGCGTCTCCGTCGTCGAGGGTTCCAGCACATGTTGTCGCATTGTCTCCGAAATTATGACAAATATTTACAAACACAAAAGAGCTAATGTTCCCATTTCAACAGGCACATAAATACTCATAAGTGTTATGAGCTCCCGCCAGTTTTTGTCACAGATTTTTAGCATTTCTTTTTTCGAGCCCCACTTCCAAGTGTCGGAAAATTATTTGTGTCAGTCTGCGGACTGAGCGCCATGTGCAACATATGACAACGATTTGAGAAATTAAACTCTAGATTTAGTATGGGGCCTGAATATTTGTAAGACGGGCCGTCGAGTTCTGGCAGAGTTCTGCTTCCCCCATTCCTCCACAAATCTGGCTGCGAAGTTGGAGTGTGTAGTATGTAGGAGTGGTGCGAACTTATTTTAATGTCAGGGGTCTGGTCATGGCTGGTCATGCTCTGTAAAGGTGGCTTAAACACTAACTGAGAGCTTTATTCCTGGAACTACTCTATTTTAAAAACTATAGGCGGAAATTAATTCCTTATTTACCTACGATGGTGTTTAGAAATGATAGTTTCTTGAACTCTAATTTTTTATTAATATGGTTCACAACTTCAAAAATTGAAATACTATTTGTATTTGTATTTTAAACCAATAATATGTACAGAAGAAGCAAACGAATTGAAATAAAAATTATTCTTGATTATGTCGGTATTAGGAAATTTACATAGCTTGTTTTTTTTTTTTTTTTAATATGGTTCACAACTTCAATTCAGTCATCATTTTCCATTTAAACCAATAAAGAAGAAGCAAACGAATTTAAATAAAAATTATTCTTGATTATTAGGAAATTTTCATAGCTTGCGGTAAATGGATAAATAAAGTTAAGTTTTTCTATTTTATTCATAAAAACCTTTATGCACATTATTATAATACAGATCTAAAACTTTTTATAATAACCTCTATCTATTAGAATTATTGCTAATTTAAAATGTCTGCATTTGTTTGTTTTTAAATTGTTACTATTTTTATTTTATTTAGTACATCAACAATAAAATAAAATATATTTTAACATTTTATATATATTAAAAGAAAAAATAAAATGATGATATAACTTTATATTATTTGAAAAAAATTTTTATTAATGGGCGCTATTTTGGGGTTGAAACTCTCGAGTTTGGAATTCAGGCAAAACTATGATTTATACTCGATTAGCACAATTATAGCATTCTTCATTAAAATAACCATTTGATCACTGCCCCACCACATTTCCCTTTCACTTTTATTTAATTTTCCAATAATAATAAAATAGTATTGAATCGATAAAGAGTCAGAGGTCACCTGAATAGCATCGAATAGCAATCAAAAAAATTATTGCTAGCTGTATTTTTTAAATACAAATACATTTTTTTCGCTTCATGTTCTGCCCAAGAAAGGGGCAATAAGCTCAAATATTTTATGACTGACGCTGCTTTGCGCCAAATAAGTATTGTATTCAGTTAGGAAACAAGAGTTGAAGGAAGTATCTACTTTGCGAACCTGTCGATGGGATTCTCTTACCGTTTTCCGGTTCACAGCAGTGTCTATTAGGAGAAAAAACCTTCACTGACTGTCTTAATTCTTTTAAAAAGATAGGCCAGCAGGACATAGAGGTCAACTACATTGCAAACGTGGAAGGGAATTACCGCAAACATCCCTCCTGATAAGGATGAAATCATTACGCCTCTTCAAGCACCTCAGGCTGCTGAGACAACTGTCTGGTAGGCAGAATCGCTGCTAGACTTGGCATTCCATTTAATGATTTGTGCAGAAGCTCTAAAGGTTGGACAAGAAAAGCGTAGAAGACCTTCTCTATTATTTCAACATAGCCTAAAATTAGCATTTATAAATATTATTCTGATATAAGAGTGTTCAAACAATGACAATTTGACCGTAAGATGTGAAATGATTGTACCAGAAATTCCTTCCCTTTCAGTTTCACATTTACTTTCTATATAAATACTATAGTCTATATATAGAAATGTATGTAAAGGTGCCTTTAAATTAAGTGGATTTTAGAATGTTTTCCATAAACATGAATACAGTGAAAACTCTCTTGGCCGCACACTCACGGTCGGCCAATTCTTGTCCGCCCAAGGGGAGTGTCCGCTTAAGGGGATATTTAAATACTTTACACACGGATCGAAAGTTTTAGCAAAAGTCCGCCGAAGAGAGCGCCCAGATATCCTGTTTTACACGGTTTTGATTTAACTCGGTTTGAAAATTAAAAATTGTATACATACAAGTATATGGTTGCAAGAAGACAGAAATGGGATATGTTTGATTGAGTTAGGAATTCTGTCAATAAAAAGGCTTGCAAAATCAAGTACAAGTAGTACTTAACAAATGAGATTTCCATTTTTTCATATGTAAAGATTCGTAAAGATTTTTAAATCGGTGACTCAACCTAGTCGAACACTCAACAACATGATATTAATAGAAATAAATTGCTATAAAGCATTACCTGATGCATGGTTGAGAAGGTAATGGGAACAAATGAATTGTGGGAAGATCAAATGCATATATGTAAGTCAAGAAGCGCCAGTCAAGTGAAATATTAACAAAACCACCAACACTTGAGTATCCAGGAGAAAAGGAAATTCCACTTGAAATTAAAAAGGGGACGCACTGCGCAATGCCACGCGTGGCTATTGACGACCACCCAAAAAAAAAAAAAAGAAGAAATAAACCAAAGACAAACATACACACACACGCACTGGCAAGACGTTCAAGCAACCCCCCACCCTTCTGCAGACGCATTGATTTGAACGAATCAAAGCGGTATGCGCACTAAAAATACCAACAACAATGCCAACAACAACACTAGGAGCAAGCACAGTTACACAGCTACAGAGATTAAGCGTGACGAGCTGGAAATTTGTGGGCGTGCCCAAAAATCAACAGGCTGGCAACAAAGGGTGTGCTAGACAAAGACAGCGCACCGTTTGGGTGTACGCGCCGAAAAGAGATAGTGTGAGGAAGTGTGTGAATAGTTGCAATGGTGGTGCGATAACTGTTCCAATGTGTTTCATTGCCACAACGTTTCATGCTTCCAGTCAAGACAATTGCTGCTTCCAATTGGAACGCACGGCTGTGTGATTTGTCTCGCTCGCTCCCATGCAACAATTGGGCGTGGTGGTGGGTGTTTGTTATCAGTTCAGCCCGGAAAGAGCGCCCAGTGTGGTCGTCACTGCCGCTAGCTCAGTGACAGTCTCAGTCGCTGTGCTTCGAAGCGTGCGGACAGACACAGGCGCAGTTGCGCTCGCTGAATTTTTTCGTGTGTGCGTGTGTTAGTGTTACAAAAAAAAAAAACTTAAGCCACAAAGTGTACAATTTTACCGAAATACAAAATAAAAAGAAAAACAGCAAAAAAAGTGTGAGAACTCTCTCTCTCTCTATCTCTCTTCAAGTCTCTCACAGCTTCATGCTGCTGACGTTGACGCTGACGCTGACACCGAGACCGTCGCCGCCGCCGTCAGCGTCGCTGCCCTGTTGGCCAAACTTGATTTCTTCCAATCTAGGCTGGGAAAAATCGAAATCGCAACAATTGGAATAGTCGGGATTCGCGTGTTCCGATTAACAGAGGCGCCACCCTCGACTTGTGTCGCAAAGTCAAGTGCAGCCGCAATAGCAGTAGCAGTATTAGTAGCAGAGGCAGCAGCAGCAGCAGCGTCCACAGCACTCGCAGTCTCAATCAAGAGCCAGATTCACTCTCGGCCAGCGTCGCTGCCTTGCCTTCCATTTTGCCAACGCAACGGCACTGATTAACTTTTACAGTTAGTCCGTTCGATGACGCCGTGCACTCAAGTTATGCTCACTTGTTCGAGAGGCGCGCGAGTGTTCGCACTATAGTCCATACCCAAAAAAAAGAAGAAGAAGCAAACAAAAGCCAAAGAAAAAAAAATTACTAAATCACTGTAAAACAAATCGTCTTCTGCAATCGCGCGTGTAATCGCAACCAATGCCGTCGTCAATAGCAACAACAACATTCCAGCTCGTGTTTTAAAAAGTGTCATTGCTTAACCAAAAAAAAAAAAAAATAAAAATCACAAACTCAAACATCGCCATTTTGAAAATCATGGACGTTGCCAAAATGCAAGCGCCTGGCCAACATTTAATGCCGCCGGCAGCGCCACCCACCCAGCAGTTGCATCTGCCCATCGACTACAGTTTGGGAAACTTTAAGCCAGCCATAGCGGCCGATTTCCCCGGCCCCTTCGTCAGCACCCCGTCGTCGTCGTCCCTGCAGGTGCGCGATCTCAGTGCACTGACCACCATGGCCGCCACGATTCCATCGCCCACTCAACTGCTGCATCAACGTATGCAGCAGGCCCAAATAACTGTCGATGGACACCAGGAACAACAACAACAACAGCAGCAACAACAGCAGCAACAGCTGCCGACGGCACCAACATCCCCGCACGAATACGCGCCCATGTCCGCCTTCAAGGCAGTGCTCCCCAAGAAACGCAATGCCGACGGTAAGTTTGAAATGTGTTTTGTGGAACCGTGTGATTGATTGCGAAATTGTGTTTGATTGAAAAATATTGTAATCCTTTTTGCAATAAAAATAGGCCTTCAAAAATGTTCTATACAGAAAAGAAAGAAAGCCCTACCTGTATAAAGCTAATCGGACGTATACGTAATATGCGAGTGACTTTAAAATGTTTGACAAAAAAGTAAACTCTCCCCTATTTTATATGAATAATACGTAATAGGGACAAAAACTAAACTCTCCTCATTTATTTATTTACATTGTATATGAATAATATGTAATGGGAACAAAAAGTAAACTCTCCTCATTTATTTTAAAAAATTTTTATTATGAAAAATATGTAATGGGAACAAAAAGTAGCCTCTCCTCAATTATTTATTCATATTTTATAAGAATAATACGTAATAGGGACAAAAACTAAACTCTCCTCATATATTTATTTACATTTTATATGAATAATATGTAATGGGAACAAAATTTAAGCTCTCCTCATTTATTTATTCATATTTTATAAGAATAATAAATGATGGGAGATAATGCAATTATGCTCCGCATTGTCTTTATTACACTAAATATTTATTAATTTCTTGTTAATCATTATTAAAAATGTATAAAGAGTGTCTTCAAAAAAATCAGAGTTCATTTAGGATTTAATACTTTGTTTTATAATGTTTGGGAAGCAATTAATAATATTAAAAATGTATCAATGAATGCACATATTTTGAGGCCTTCTTAGATTTTTCATGAAGCACTTGTTTAATATTCGATTAAAATTATTGAAAACATTTTTTATGCAAGTATGTATTAAAAAAAAGAGCTTTCTTCAGAGATTTCCTTTTCCCACAATGAATAACATAAACATAATTACTTTTTACACAATTTCTGGTTTAGTTACTTTTTTATTGAATATAACTCGAACTGAATGGCAGTGAAATTTTAATTTAGAATATTAATTGCAAAAAGTGTTACGCATGGGGTGTAGATTTTAAATGTTGACTTAACAGTAGCTTAAAAATTCGATTGTACAAAATAATACATAATTTCTGTCTATATTCACTATCGAATGTGTAAAATTTTATTCTGTTATATTTTGTGGAAAAAGTAACTTTTTAAACTTCCTGAACTGAATTACTAATAGAGGATTTTTTCTCTGCATGTCCCATATTTATTTTCTAATTGCAAATTCTTCCTCAACTTGAAAACATCAACATAAAACAATGTCCAATAAGTTTCTCAATGAACTTTTCATTTAACATTTGTATAGATATAGATTTATATATGCTTATTTATATATATTTATATATACTTGTACATATGTAAGTATGCTCCTTCACTTTTTACAATCCAAGCATTTTCATATTTGTGCCCCCACCTGAGCGGAGCTGGCGACAAAGTGATTCTGTTGTTGGCGTATTCCCATGTTAATTAAAAAACAAGATAAAAAAAACCACACACACACAGATACACACAGATACATACAGCAGCTACAATAAGCGACAAGCAACGAGCAGCGTGTCACGACTGGGAAATGAAAGAAAATGTAAAAAATTATTTGAATAATGTGTGATTTTAAAATATTGCAATTGCCGGTGGACAACAGTCGACCGACAGTGTCAGTTTAATTGAAAAAAATCCAAGCTCGATTTCCTCGTGTGTGTGTGTGTGCGTGTATGGGAGAGTTGAAAAAATAAACAACAGATATAAGTAAGTAACGCGAACGCAAATATTCATTATTCCGTTTGTCGTTATGTGTGTGTGAAAGGGTATGTGTGTGTGTGTGTGGAAATGCAAATCTCCCGTGCGGACATGGCGGACAAGTGGATATTGGGATTGAAAAATCCATACCGAACCACAGGATGCGCTGCCAAAAAGCGCGCTCGCACACACAATGATAAAAAAAAAAGAAAGAAAACAGAACAGACAGAACACGGACAAACTTGTAGATACGGATACGTTGTTGATATGTAAGTATCGGGAGCATAGCCATATGAATGGATAGACAGATGTGAGTGCGTATCAGTGTGTCTGTGTTGTGTGTGTGTTGGCAGGCGCCGTTGTCGTCGCCATCACAGCTGAATTTCAAATTTGAACATTGAATGGATGTATGAACTGGCCTGTCTGCCAACTATACAGTGGCAGTCACTTGAATAGTTACACCAGCACAAAGCCAAGCAAAACAACACATGATTTAAGCATGAATCATCAAATTTATGCATTTTTTAGCACGGTTTTCATATACTGGAGTCTCAATAGTTTGATAATATTGATCAACATACATTGTTTTAGATCCCCAAATACTTTCCATTATATACGTCTTTTTTATTTTGGTGATTTGATTTTCAAAACTGCAGATATTTATGTATTTACCATATAAAATATTTGGCCATTAATATCGCCATTATTAATACCAACAATTAAAAAGCGTGCTAAACTTTTTAAAAAACCCTTATTTCTACTCTCATTTTTATATGCTTAGTGCTCTCTTGATCATCATCTTCCATCCCATAAGGTATATCCATATATTCTTTCTTCAATATAACGGAAAACTGATGTTATTCAATAACTACAGTTAATTTCGTGAATAAGGAAACTTTCTCGGCTTGCACTTAATACTATTGTCAAAGCAAAGTATAGTTTGAATACAGGTTTGAAATTAATTTCATATTTTGTTATCAAAATGTAATAACCCTAATTATTATATTAAATAATTTAAGCATTTTAAGAATCACAGACTTGTTAGTTGCCCACTCAATTATTTGTACACCTAATTCTGTTTGTACGCGGTAGATTGGTTCCAGAAACAACGACATTTATCATATGCAAAAATAGTTCATTGGTTCCTTATCTCTAAAGAAAGGTATATGCAATTTTTAATTTTCAATGCAGAATTAGGTGTAATTGAGAGTTAGAATGCCTTATTTATTCCGGTTGTATCAAAAACTGTTAGGAAAATGCAAATAAGGTTAAACATTGCAGCTAAGTGGCTTCATTAAAATGATTTACTTTCGCAAACTTCAAAAATTAGAAAATCTGTGACTATTGTGTAAATCTATTTGTTCGCTTTAAGAATAGGTTTACATTGAATGCATTGTTTAATAATTTTGTTTCAGTTTCAGGGGAGCTAGGTTTTTTAAATGAAATTAGTAAGATATAAATGCAATTTAAGTAATGAATTTAACTAAAAATCTTTTAGTTGGGAATTGAATTTCTGTTAAATGTTGCAGCTAAGTGGCTTCAAAAATTCGAAAATCTGTGACTATTGTGTAAATCTATTTGTTCGCTTTAAGAATAGGTTTACATTGAATGCATTGTTTAATAATTTTGTTTCAGTTTTAGGGGAACTATGCAATGCAATTTAAATGATAGGTTTTAATGGTGGAACTTAACTAAAAATCTATCTTTTGTTAATTTAATTTCTGTTTTATGAGAAATATAGCCATTGTTTATATGAAAAAGTTCTCTAATGTCTGGCTATAAGTCCCATTCCGCTTCAGAGTAGTTATACTTGTATATACGCAAGAGTTAGGTTCAAAGTGCTTGAATTTGTGTATAAACATATAGTATTGGTAATATATATCTGCAATATTTCTGTGCTAGAACTAGGTAATGGACTGGAATGCGCTCCGCACGTCTGAAAGCATGTATTCCTCTGCATCTATTCAGCTGTCCGCTGCTGTATGACCATATGGTGTGTGTGTGTGTGTGTGTGGCTGTGTGTGTCAGTGTACCTCAACGCTGGCGACCAAACCCTGAAATTCATAGATACACCACAGCAGCACACTCACTCACACGGAGTGAGCGACAAGCGGATTTCATTTACCGGCATTACATGCATCCAACGGATACGATTTTAGCCCTGTGGCTTGTGCCGGGGCGCAGAAATGGATACGAGATATACACTCCCCACACACACACACACACACACACTCGTACACACAGACACACACACTCACACTTTTATGCATGCGCTGAATTTTCAATTCCGTTTGCCGCGACACGCTCTTTGCTCTTTTGCTCCACTTTATTCACTCGTTCGCTTTACACTTGCTCTATGTGTGTGTGTGTGTGTGCGGTTTTTTTGCCGCTTTTCCGTTTTCCGCTTTCATGTTTTCTTTTTGTGCTCGTCGCTTTTGGCAAAAATGATTTTCGCCCTGTTTGTTGAAATATTTTGGTAAAATATTGGTGACCCACCATGTTTCTCCTGTTTTTCTCCACCCCCTCTCTCTCCTTCGCCATCACCTTCCTCCTGTCACTTGTCTCGCTTTGTTGCTCTCGCACAGTTCGCCATTTCAGCATGGATTTCATTTTGTCCAGTTGCTTTCACACACACACACACACACATGCACACACAAACAGATGGAAATATGGCCGAAAATCTCATCGGCTTAAACGGAAATGTGATTACATTCGCAGTAATATTTCCTGCTCTATTATTTTGCGCGAATTGCTGCCTTCTCTCTCTCTTTCTCTCTCCCTCTCTGCCATTCTGATGAGTTTCTCTGGCCTAATCCTCAATTTTTCTCAAACAAATGTGTTATGTTTCATATTTATATGTGCTTACTACTTTCATGTTCAAAGGGTTCCTTATCTGAGCTCTATAAATGGTATTGTTCTGTAATTATATAGTTGCTTTATATATGTATAGACGATGGTCATGCGGGACTTACCCGACCTAACATGTAAAACCCACATAAATTGATGGAAAATTATAGAAGTATTTCTTTCTCTATAGAATCCCCATTTATTTATTTATGCCAACAAACATTGACTGTCGACATAGGAGGAAAATATATAAAAATTATAGAAAATCATCTTCTAAGCTAGAAAAGCCTATAAAAGAGAAATCTAATCAAATTACAATAATATCTAATTAACGCCTCCGACCCCAGCGATGTTCTATAGCTCAAAAAAAGTCCAATTCTTCTTAATACCTAGCTATATATAGTACAGCAGACTCTTTCTCTGTATTCTTTGAATATCTTTTTG